TCTAATTGAAACAGCCAGGGTTGGTTTTCATTCTATAGAGAAGTGGGGGAAACAGCCAGGGTCGGTCCTCATTCTATAGACAAGTGGGTGTCACATCAAGGCTGATATATCATTTTAGAGGAAAATTAGGCAGCAATGGCAAGAGAGGTTGGTATTCTATTTTATAGAAGCATGATTGAACATTGCAAGGTTAGGGTTTCATTTTATAACAAGATTAGGCAGCAATGGCAAGAGAGGTTGGCCACCTCTGCATCTCCAAGTGGCAGTGGTTTCTAGAATGTTCCCCAGGGGCTTTCCCCACCAGAAAGGTGCTTGACCAGCTCTGGCTCCAAAAAAGGTTGGCTTTTCATTTTATAGTGGCCTGGGTGCTGTGGGCTTGGCACAGGTGGCCACCACAAGAAGCCAGGCAGGGGTCCCCGAGTGGTGTTCACCAGGGTCTTTCCCCACCTGAAAGGTACTTGTCCACCTCTGCATCTCCAAGTGGCAGTGGTTTCTAGAATGTTCCCCAGGGGCTTTCCCCACCAGAAAGCTGCTTGACCAGCTTGGCTCGAACAAATGTTGATTTTTCATTTTATAGTGGCCTGGGTGCTGTGGGCCTGGCACAGGTGGCCACTACCAGAAGCCAGGCAGGGGTCTCCAAGTGGTGTTCACGATGGCCTAGAATGTTCCCCAGGGGCTTTCCCCACCAGAAAGGTGCTTGACCAGCTCTGGCTCCAAAAAATGTTGATTTTTCATTTTATAGTGGCCTGGGTGCTGTGGGCCTGGCACAGGTGGCCACTACCAGAAGCCAGGCAGGGGTCTCCAAGTGGTGTTCACCAGGGTCTTTCCCTGGTAGGTACTTGGCCACCTCTGCATCTCCAAGTTCTCTCAACCTTCTACTGCTCCAGGTTCTCTCTATAGAATCAAACCCTCTGTCCTCTATAAAATGCCCTCAATTTTCATATATTCTCTATAAAATGAGGGTGGTCAACCTAGTGATCCATCAATATATGATTCTCTCACCTCAGATATCCTCAGAATGGATCTTTTTCAGGTAGGTTGACTTTTGATTCTATAGAAAATATCTATAAAATGCTAGGTCATTTTGGAGCTCGACCTCCCCCATTCTATAGGGGTTATTCCCTGGGGTATTTTACAGGGCTGTCCGCACACACAAGTAGCTCGCATACTGCAAGCTGTAAACCTAACAGTCGTTGCATTGCGCACAGCCGCACAGCTTCGCATCAATAAGAGTACAACAAAAACAGGCATGATACGGCACAGTTCCCTCCCTGATCTTCTGCAGTGAAGAATGGCGTGCTAGTTGCGTGGGGCTTTGGGCATTGCGCCCATCCATGCTTACCGACGTCCTCGAAAACCACACGACACAGCCTGGCGGCTCGGAATTGCGCAAAAGCAGCGCTAGGCACCAACAATGATTCAACCAGCAGATTCTGAAGCGAGGCCGCGTGTCAGGTGAGTTACGGAATCTATCTAAGCAAAAACAGCAGAGCAAAGAGCATCTAGCACCGGTATAATTATAACATGCCGCTGGGGATTGCAAACCCTATACAACCATGCCACCCAGAAGTTGTCGAGGCCCGGTGTATGTTTTCAGGGTCCAAGTAGGAAGAGGTCAGGTGGCAATGATGGTTTGCGGCCCACCTGTCACACTGGATGTCTTCACTTGCGTTGTCTTCTTGAGTGGGAAGCCTCCAATCCAAGAACATCAAGCAGGCACCCTGTGATTGGGCGGCTTGGAACTCTACGCTAAACTTCGTGGCCCGAGGGCGATGTTCAGATAAGGGTCGGTGTTCAGTTCGGAAACTAAAACGTTGGGTTCTGAGAGTCGGGTTCGGAAAGTGGAAATGTGGGGTTCGGAAACTGGAAGCGGCATCATCTCCAAAACACATCCCAGCGAACTTTGTTATCCCCCCCCATGACCACCACTCCAACTTGAGAGAGGAGGGGGCGAACGAAAGGTAGCAGGCAATCACAAGTAACCCTGGTAGAAGTTCATGACGGCGGCAGATGGATGTGACATGGCGAGGAGGGGAATGATCCAGGGGGGCCCCCCCCCGTCGAACAGAATCCCTTCGTACAGGACCAAAATCAATGCAAATCACCAAATCCTGATTGTAATACATTTTTGCTAAAGCAAGGAGAACTCAGGTAGCTCAAGCTACCTTTCGTGACCTTCCCCCAAACCAAAAACCCGGCACAATTAGCTCTTGAAGCCGGCAGGTGAATTTCCGGCAAAAACGTTTGCGAAGCCGGCAAAATCTCTGAGCCCGCCCTCAATAGTTAACTGAACCCATAGTTTCCTAAACTCCGCAACAATAGTTTCCAAGCCCGACAAAGCAGTTGCTGAACCGTAGTTTCTTCCTTCGTTTCTAGGGTCGCAAACTTGCCTAGGTAATATGCATGAAACATGGTAAACTACTGCGTTCTATGTATTTCATATATGTCATTAGAGTCTGAGGCTCAAGCACACAGTGAAGCCCACATTTTTCAACATTAGCGTCTGCCGCTCAGCTCAAAAATGCACAAATGCATCAGAAAAATCAAGTCTTGCATTTTCTTGTCTGCCCCGCATTGGAAAAATGCAGCCGTCATCCATAAACAAGAACAAATATCCGTAAAAGCCATCACCTTTGTGTGCCTTGCTGCGCGACACTCGTCCCTTTTCGGCGTCACGCGCCTCTGATTGTTCACTCCTTGTTGGAGCGTCTGTGGCCACGACTCCTGGGCTGAACATCTTCTTGGACAGGCTCGGGCAGCATCTCCATCGAATAAGTAGCGCGCCACAGTGGGCCGCTCCTGTGGCACCAGCAGTGTGGCCAGTAAATCTACGCATCCCGCGTCGGTATACGGATTTTGCCGAGCGGACTTTTGTTGGCGCGCGTGGCTGTGGCAGCAGAATTGTGAAGTTTTGCAGGCTGCACCTTCCAACTGTTCCTCCACGAGGTGGCAAGGACGCAGGTTATTCGTTTAGATTCGCAAGCGCACATGTGTGTGTACGGAAAGCACCCAGCGCTTGCCAATCAGCCTAGTTTGACTGTACCAGCCAGAATGGGAACGCGTTTCGCCCCCGGTTGTCGGGAAGATTAGGAGGGGCTGGATCATGCTGTCTGCTGAGTGGATCGGCCGTCTTGTTTAGTTTTGTGTTGATACGTTGAAGCGAAGTAGGTTCGTAATGTCCTTGCGCCTGGTCCAGCGCAATCTCTCTGGCAACCATGGACGGCTCCTTTGACCTGGCCTTCCCCTTGGTGATGAGGCACAAGGCACCAACGTTGTCGGCTCTCCCACATATGGATGATGTGAGAGGATGCTGAGTCAATGTTGAGCCAACCAAGCTCTCGCCGAGGAGGCATAGTGACATAGTGATTCCCACTATAGGTCTACTATAGGTCAATTGCTTGCGTTGCCCAGGAACAGCACCGGTTCGCAGCACGAACTCTGCTGGAATTGGACATGTGAAAGAATGTGGGTCTCCATTCACTATTTTTGACGGCACCTAAACCCTAAGTGGAGGCATCCGTAAGAATGGTCAGTCCTGCAGTTTTACGGAATGGATGAACTGTTCGCGCCAATCGGCCACTTTGTCCTGGGGGATCGTCGCCTGAACTGTTTTCTTCTGGCGGTCCGCCCCAAAACGGGCTTGCCACAGGTGAAAGCCGTGAAGGTGGTCCAATGTGCTCCGGCGGCTGAAGACCAGGTCCTGAAGGCAGCATTGGCAGTGATCGATGCTGCGCTGCTGTGAGATGCTGTGAGCACGCTCAGTGAAGATCTCAGTTGCAATCGACATCGCCGCTGCGTGCCTCATGATCTTCGGAGCCTCTGCGTTGAGAAAGATCAAAGCAAGATGGGAGAAGGAAGATGAACTCTCCCCGAAAGGCGTGTCTCCAGCAGACACGAAGGGAATCCTCTGCGAGGGCCCACAACGAACCTGCAGCGCAAGAGGAAAACAAAAGATCGGGAAGGTTATCCGACACCTTGGAGGTGAACTCCCAGCTGGAGCCGCCAACGAGAGAGCAGCGTGCCAAGTGCAAAATCAAAGGCTGATGGAAGGGTTACATGTTATTCGAATTGCACAGACCTGACCTGACCTGACGAGGAGAACCTGGGAGCACTCGTGTTTTGACGTGGTGGAAGACCTGCATTTACGGCAGACCCTTTTTCGTGCCTGAGAAAAGGCGTACTTCACTGAACTCACCTTTAAGTCCCTTATTATATAAACCGTTACAATGTTTTACAAAAGTCTATTGCACAAAGGAGGTGGCCCAGCACGCTAGAAACCTAGAGTAATATAATAACTTATTTTAGTAACGGAACGCGTGACCGTACCTTTTTGCTTGAAACGTCATATTTTCCATGTTGAAGTATATAAAATAAATTATATACCCTCTCAAATGTCGTCTGCATCTTTGCTCTTGTATGATTCTATTACTATGAAATACTATGAATAGACCCCGTAATCATGTCTATGCTGTTCATTTGTTCTTGCTTTTACTTTGAAGTCATTGTTTACAGTAAATGTATAACAGTAAGTTTCCTTTTAAACTCAACTGAAGTGTTGATTCCTATCGAATTCCCTTGAAAACTCCCTTTGACTTCTACTTATGTCCCTTTGGTTTCCTTTTGATTGCACTTGGTTTCTTGATAGGTGTGCATTTTACTGTGTGCTTGAGCCTATGACATACATAAAACACAGTCAAATACAGCGTCTTTAGGCATCTGACAAGCAGATTTTACATCCCTGCCAACACCCGCCCTGCTTCTGAAACTCAGGCCAGTTTCTGAAGTTGAAATGAACTTCATATGAGTCTGCAATCAAGAAGAAACACGGTACAAAAGGATACACACCATAAAACATGCCATACCATACACCATGCATATAACAAACACCAACTATATAAAAGCAATGCATTGCCACATTGCATGTTTTGCATGCAAGAGCACACGTATTACATGCGTTACATTCGTTACATGCACACACCCATGTCACACCACCTGCACGCCTTGCCCTTCTTTCCCTTTGCTGAAGATGGCGCCTGTCCTAAATTGTTGTGTGGACCTCTTGTTCACGTTTAAAGCCCAACGCACCATCTGAGAAATGACTTGTCTAAGTGGGTCGCGTGTATCTTCGTCCGGATCCTCTCCAGCCTAGGGAAGGGCCACGGAAATGAGACAGTGCGACACAGCCTCCCAGCAGCCAGCCTCAATGCGCCTCTTCCGCTCCCAAGCTGCCTGGCTCGGGACTCAAAAGGTCTAAGCCTGTCGCAAAATACCCCTTGACTTCCCCAATCTATTCAGCCAGCTGTCCATGATTCAGACACGGCAAGAAAAAACAGGTGGGAGCTCTGGCTCATGATATCAAGCTCTTGAAATAGCTGATGACGTGGATAAAGAAACGCAATCAATCAGGCCAGGACCGAACATGCCGAACCAAAAGTGAGATCCATGGAGGTGGAGAAAGAAAACAACGACAGCAAACCAAAGGATTGACTGGCCTGGCACTGTCCAACCAGGTTCGTACACCATGGGAAGCTTGCACAAGCGGACACTAGTAGAGAAAACTTGCAAAACAAACCACATGAATTGATGGGCAGGCCCACATGTACATACAAACAGTGTCTTTCGTGATTTTGAATTTGCCAGTGTGCAAGTGGCAAAGACGGACGCATTGTTGCCGTCAGGGCTAAACATAATGACATGAACTGAGTTGTGGGTTGAACGAACAAACTGACATGAGATGAGGACAAAAGATGTGAGGTGTGATGAGATGAGCCAAGAACATGCAACATATGAATAGAACAAAAGAATGCGGGAAAATAAGTAAAACCAGGATCCCCGCAAATTAAGAGGGGGGGACGTCCAAAAATGTAACTTACATTTTCCTATATTTTCGGACCTCAAAAATGTAAGCTTACATTTTTTGGGGGGGACCTCAAAAATGTAAGCTTACATTTTTCCTTTGTCATAGGAAAAGAAGAAGATCTGCCTTCAAGTCTGTTTGTTGAGTCAATTGCTCACGTTAGTTCCGGCTATTCTTCTGCAGTGGAGCATGCTGAGGACAGCTAGTTAGGAGAATGCGAAAATGAACACGCCCACACACAAACACAAACGAATCAAGAATCCGTTTATATAAATGTAAAAAACCTTGCCCGCCTACCAGTAGTATATTTAAAGGCATCAGCCGAGCCACTAGGCACACTTAATCACAGGGTTTGCAGTTAGTCATAATCCACGGTGAAATGGATGCAGAGCTGTTTTACTTCGAAATGCAGTTTCCGTGGCAGGTGCGGCACTTTGGACATGGCGGTGATCGTCGAGGAGCTCAGATTTCGTGACAGGTGCGGTGAATCGTGACATGTGGTTTGTTGCTGTTTGCAGATTTCGTGGCAGGCGCAGCACTTGGTGAACCTTGCAGCTCAGATTTCGTGCGCAGCACTTGGTGAAGATTTCGTAGCAGGCGCAGCACTTTGTGAACCTCGAAGTGCAGATTTTGTGGCAGGCACGGAACTTGGTGAACCTCGAAATGCAGATTTCGTGGCAGGTACAGCACTTGGTGAACCTCGAAGTGCAGATTTCGTAGCAGGCGCAGCACTTTGCGAACCTCGACGCGCAGAGTTCGCGACAGGCACAGCACTTGGCGAACCTCGATGCGCAGAGCTCACGGCAGGTACAGCACTTTGAGAACCTCGACGCGCAGAGTTCGTGACAGGCACAGCACTTTGCGAACCTCGAAGGGCAGAGATTTCGTGGCAGGCACAGCACTTTGTGAACCTCGACGCGCAGAGTTCGTGACAGGCACAGCACTTTGTGAACCTCGACGCGCAGAGTTCGTG